CTTTGGCCTAACTGTCTGTTGGTTTCAATATGCCATGAACAATCATTTCCAAATCTCACTTGCTGCATTTTACTGAGCAGCCTGTAAGATCACTGTAGCTAAAAGAGCTTTTTTTGGCTGGAGCGAGGGCGAAGAAGAGCCGTCTCATGTTGTTGCATGTGCCTCGGGCAACGTGGTGGGAGAGTAAGTGCTGCAGGGCAGCCTCCCTTCCCGGCTGGCTGCAGCTGCACCCGGTCCCAGGATGCTGGGAGTTGCATCAGTGTCTTCCAGAGGCCCAGTTCCGCCAGCGAGGACCGGGAGAGGCCAAACTCCTCAGCAATTCTCCTCAGCCTTTGTTTTAAGAAGGAGGTTGGGAAGGGGATCTGCCCGCTCTGTGCTGAAAAAAGAGCTGGCTTCCTTTCCTAATGACAGCTTATCGGTGTGTCTCCTATAGATTAGACAGCTTTTTCTACAGGTATATAAAAAGTTTTGAAAAACTGTAGAACTGACAGATTTGTAATGGGTTTGAATTTGAAAAGTGAGATTTACGTGTGTATTCTTCATATGTATGGAATATATATGTATTTGGGTTAACTGTGCACCCAAACATTCTTAATTTAAGGCCTTTTATGCCAGCTTTTCACTCGGTGAATTTATAACTAAGCATAGTTAGTTAAAAATATCTGAAGAACAGTTTGTAACGAACACACTATACAGCCAAACAGCATTACTGTCACAGAAATGTCACGTAGGTTGAAAATTCAGATGTCTGTTCCTAACTCAGAAATTCAGTTACTTGAGTGCATTTTCAGTAGCTGAATGGACGGATGCAGAAGCTCTTGCTTGGTGCTGTAATGCTAAAAGTTAACTATTTAAAAATTTCAATATACTGGCAATTTAAACAGCTCAAATTAGAAACTGCTTCTCTCTCTGCCATATTTTGTGCTATTTTTGGGGGGGGACTAGTTCCCAAAAGACTAGTGTCAACCTAAACTAACTAATCTGGCAGTTTGGAAGATTGTTAGGAAATGGCAGTGGATGGGCTGTGGGGGAGGTAAGCTTTTGTTTTGGACAGCTTCCCCCCACTTTCCTCCCGGTAACTCTGAGCTTGGGCCCACCACGAATAAAGCCTATAGCCTTGATATTCATAGGCGGCTTTACAAGAAACACGATGCTGTAGGTTTGACTAAAGTGGTTGACACCCTAAAGTGGTTGATGTTTAAAAGGAACTTCTAGACGTGGTGCTTGATCAGGATCTCAGTTCTGTTTCTGCTGGGCTCGAGGCCATATACTTCCCTATAATGTGTATGTGAGCTCTACCTCAAAATGCTGGAAGTCCAAAGCCAGCGAGTAAATGTGGCATACAGGAGGACTGTGGGAAGAGAGAGTTATAAGGAGGCTGTACTTTGGGTGGCTTGATAGTTCATAGCTTAAATGTGCCCTTTATAATCAAGTCTTGCAACACCAATACGTTCAAATAGGGCTTCAACATGTCAGCAATGCTGTGTCACGGAAGACAAACTTGCAAAGATTTTCCTGATTTTTTCTAAATCTCTGAGATAAAGACATTAAAAGAAAGAATTATGTTGACATGGAAGAAATCTCCCTGAGATAGAAAAGTTATCTGTGACAAATTTTGAAGCACTGAATGGAGCTCCACAGAGTTTGTTATCAAATATCCTGGGTAACAGAGCTATTCCAAGAAAAAATAGCCTTAATTTCATAAGGTAATTCTTTTTCTTTTAAAGATCCTTAGACATACACACGCACATGTGAAGAATCCTTGAACTGAGGTAGGGCACAAAATGCATGTCAATAACTTAATTGGTAAAAATAAATAAAAAATTAGTGTTTCTTTTAATGTGTTTCGTTTAGTAGTTCCTACAAGCCCTTCAGTTGGAGGTTCAGTGTGAAAGATACACTGCAAGGGACCCAGATATTTAAACATGTAATTAAAAAAATTGGGTCTTTACATAGCCTTTTAAATTGCCCAGCTGTGGTAACTGGAAAGCAGTGTCCCCGTTCTTCAGTAAACCTTCCTGGGGGAAAAAAATGTTGTTTTCTGTTTGTTTTTTAAAAAGGATCATTTCAAAATTCTGTCTTAGATGTAGTTATGCAAGCAGTAGAACTGGCAAAAGATCAGGCGTGGTAACATTTTTGGATGCTGGAAAAAGCAAAATGAATGGTTGGAGCAAGTGTTCCTGCTGCTGCGGAAATAGTAATGTGGGTTAGGTTAAAAAAAGCGTTGTGATCCTGTCGTATAAAATCACATGCTTATATACAAATAATCTGGGAATGTAGCACATTGACATCCAATTTACTTCATTTTATAAAACGTGTTTTAGCCTAGTGATGTTATTACACAGAACGTTTATCTTGTTTGAGCTATGCTTCTCACCTTTGTCAATGGGGAATAACAGTTATTCTCTTATTTTCTTTAGCGTTAATGATTGTTTATTTCTTGAAACCATATTTGATCCCCGTAGCCTGCAACACGATGCCATCTCTTCGTGGCCTCTCGTTGCACCTGGTCTTCTGCGTAGGATACAGACCCAGGAGTCGGACGGCTCTTCCTGCACAGGGCTCCTTCCTTCTGGAGCTGTTTTTGTCCTTTCATTAGGCTTCTGTACATGTAGCAGAGCCATGGGGTTTGACTGAGGATGAGACAGTGTCTGGGGAAGAATTTAGTCTGAAACACTAAAGAGGAGCCAGAAATGAAAGGCTGTACTCAGATTCTCAGATAGTTAATGACTTAGCTGCTTTTTGAAGTACAAACATCTACTGATGAGGAATTGGAGTTATCTTGTACTCTCGGAAGATACTGAAAGTGTTACTGGGGAGGAATCAAGATTACTCCCTATGTTCTCCCTGTAGGGAACAGTAAAAGATAAGACAATGAAAAATGAAATGAAAATCAGTAATTTAAATTGTGCCAAACTAATCTGAGCTCTTCCTTTGGCAGCTGATACTCTAAATAAAAGAAATTCAGTAAATCTTGTTTCTTTGTGAAGATCATTAAGATATTTGGTACGATTGCCAGAGCAGGGTTGTGAAAGGTTATGGCTCATTGAGGAATCGTGGTGAATTAGCCAGATCTTGAGGTGAGATGGTAAAGGGCAGAATTATAAGAGAAAATATTAAGCAAGGGGAAGACCACTGGAAGAGTTTCTTAGGGATAGCCTGAACACTGTCTTGTTTTGATATAATTAATGACTATTCTAAAAGTTGAAGCATATTGGGGAAGCTAACTGGAAACAGATAATTAATAGAGCTCACATAGAGAAAAATCAGGATAACAAAAAAGGAGAGAAAGTATTAGGGGTAGGAGTAGGATGAAAATGAGTAATACAAAGTGCAATGCTCTATATTTAGCAAAAGTTGTTTGAAGGGGAATATTCTTACTAATATACATGGCAACAGTGAAACCTCATCTGAAATACAGCATATGATTCTGGTCACACACTGAAGACTCCTGTGAAGTGCAGCAGGAACAGAGAGGGGACGTCAGAGGGGACGATCTGAGGCATTGCCAGCGGGTTTGAGGGGACCCTCCTCGGGCAGGGGGTCCCCAAGCGCTGTCAGGGATACCTGGAGGGGCAAAAGATGCAGCTGGGGCAGGGTTTGATCACTGTTTATGAAAGGTAATTTACTGTGGTTTTGTGGGACGAGGCTCCAGCTCAGGTTGGTCTTTAATAGTTTGTCATTCTTTGTTGCAGTATCTCAGTTTTACCACTTTGGCAGAGGATTGTATCGAATTGTTTTTTATTTAGTTGGGGTGTTACAAAATGTCCATGTGAAACTTCCTGTGAAGGAAGGTGATGGTGAGGAGGGTTTCCTTTCAGCAAGTATTTACGAGGGCTTGAGATTCAGAACGTGTAGGAAAAGGAGGCCATTCCTTCAGTTTCTACTTCTAGCTTTGATTTATAGTATCCTTTTGCCATTTCTGTTATTGATAAACCCCTGTAAGTCCCAATCCCAGGCCATAGTAAAATGTGCGGACCCGGGTTAAGAGGTGAGTGTATGGAGATTGTTAAGTATCATCTGTTTTAGAATGGTCAAGAATAGAATTTGGGTGTTATTTTACAGACCAAATTTTAGCTGCCCAGCCGTACACCCTTTAGGTAATATAAACCACTAGTCTCTAAGCCATATTTTTTCCCCCAGAAAAGTTGGAGTTCAGAATTTTGGAACTTGCTACTAATGGTGCAGTCTAGCGAACTGCTCTGTACGTTCCTGACAGCATGTGCTTGGCTTCTCCTGGACAGGTTAATGGTCCCACTGGCACCCAGCTCTGGAGCTGCAGACCTTACGGCTGCAGATTACACACACACACACACACACACACACACTTTTATGTGTGTAAAACCAAAATACACTCTCTGCCCCACAAAAGACCACTCACAGTTTTACACTTCTATGATGTCAGTGAGATTAATAGCATATTCTAGTGTTCCATAATGTTTGTCTTTATTAGTAGTTCAGCTCTAGATTTGCTGATGTTGTTATCGCTCACAGTGTCCAGTAGTTTTTTTTAATACTTTCCAATTATGGTCTGCTCTGTTTATCTCTTGCTGTTATGTCTTTCTTCCACTTACATAAATCACTGATTGTTGCAGTTTTGGCTGATGAACATGATACACAAATACAAATAATACCAAAAAAAAAACCCCCAACCCCAAACCCTTTAATGCAAACCGCTTATAGTGTGGTAGCATGGTTTCCCTATCTGTGACCAGCCTTGACTCTAATCCAGCAAAGCATTTCTATGTATGAACATACTCTTTGATTTGTAGTTCAAGCTACTTGCAGTTAAAGTTAGCTCATGCATATATTGTGTCCACTGTTGATATTATACAGCTATAATCTAAGTCGTGTTAGTTTTCTGGTGCGAAAAGTTGTTAATTTTGTTTACAGAATTTAATTGATTTTGACAAGCTGGCTGGCAGCTGTATTAAGGTATTCTGCCCAGGAGGAATAAATAGCAAAGGTGGAAGATTAATGCATATTCTTTTGCATTACAGCTAGTTGTGTCCCATCAACATGTTCTGGAAGTTTGATTTGAACACAACATCACATGTGGACAAGCTGCTGGATAAAGAAGATGTGACACTTCACGAGCTGATGGATGAAGATGACATCTTACAGGAGTGCAAGGCTCAGAACCGCAAGCTGCTGGACTTCCTTTGCCAGCAGCACTGCATGGAGGAGCTGGTCAACCTCATCACACATGAGCCCCCTGTGGATATGGATGAGAAGGTCCGCTTCAAGTAGGTATTTGTTTTCTGTCCTGTATAAAGAAAACTGAATGACAGATCTTGATGTTGGAAATTCTCTGGGGCGAGATGGATGTAACCTTTTCAGTCTTGGGAAAAAGGCTTTTTAGTATTCTGAAATATTTCACAGCATTTTGTTACTCGTAGTGAATTTTCAGAAGCTTTTTTTTTTATTTCTAATGGTTTAACATTAAGCTTGTCTAAAAAAAAAGAAATCTCTTGCTGTTTGTTCAAAACTTTGCAAGCAAAATAATCAGTATCTCAAAAGTACCTTTAGTACTTTTTTATCAAAATAGCAAGCAAAGAACATTTTGCTTTGAGTTATAAATTTCTGAACTTGATTGGTTTTCAGTAGTCAAGCCACAAAAGAAAGTGAGCTGTACAGTGAATAAAAGATGTAATATTTTCAATGTGCTGCACATGCAAAAACTGCTGATTTCAGTGGTCGTACCGTTAGGGAGAGGGTCTAATTCTGTAAAGAGCCTCTTTCTTACGATGCTGAACTCTAGATGTGTTTGGTTCTCATATCAAGTTGTGTTTATTCATTTTTAACTAAATGTATACTTGAAAATATTTACATTTCGGATTTGGGTTTACATTTTTCTTTGTTAAGTTTATGTAAAAATAAAAGGCTGCTCTGTGTATAAATAAATAAATAAAAACAGGGGAGTTTGTCACTGTGGGAATGGATCAGTGTTGGTCATTGCTGCTGTTGCTTGAAATCCACAGAAGAAATGGTAGTATTGTTTAGGCTTACTATTAGGTGAGATGGTTGATCAACTAGGTTTAGGTGACTATTTCCAGGTAAGTGAATACTGGGAAATATATTATGTAGTAACTTTGAATATTATATGGCTGCTTTTGCAAGGCTTCTGCTATAAAAGGTGAATTACCAGAAGGAACCAGGAGTATTAGTTTTATACTACTGTCCTACAAATGCAGATTTTGTACAGGTTTAAACCAGGGACGTGGCACACGACAGTCTTACGACTTTTTGCATTTCCTGTATTGTATCAGCATAACTGGCTTTTCATGGGGTGACTGGCTCTGTGCTTGCTGCAGCTCTTTATCCATATTGTTTGCACAGCTAATCTGAGACAAACTCAAACGCAAAATGGCCGATGGAAGAAGATGGGCAATACTTTCCTTAGTGCTAAGAGTTAATGAGCAGAGGAAATGTTGAACAGTGCAAGACTTGTGGTCCTTCGCTGGCATCTGGGTGTATTTTGCTGGAGGAGAGGATGAGGGATTCCAATACCATCCCAGTACTAGTTCATACATTGTCCGTATCACTGCAGAATACGACTTCAGTTAACCAGGCCATATTATTAAGTCCTGTTCTTTTTCAGATTTTTGTGGCTGCCGTCAGAAGACGGTTTATGTCTCTGATCCTGTGTGCTGAAGGGTAGAAGTGGAAACCTTTTCCTATTGTAACTAAACAGACTAAGAATAAGGAAGGGTGGGACAAACAGAAATTTCTCAAGAAGCAAAATCCTTAATGCAAACCAAAATGAAGAGGGAAGCTCAGTATGAGAGTGTTTACTCCCAGGTGTCCTTGAATTTCACGTGCATGTATGCCATTTCATCAGCTTTTGAAGGTAGCGTGTGGTTTAGGCAGCTCAAGGCCAGGTTGGCTGATGGGGAGGCACAAAGGTAGACAGTGGTGGGAAGAGGTCAGCCTCAGTGTTGCAGTCCCCTGTGCTGGCAAGGTAGAAGAAAGTCTTGTGTGGGGAAGGGCGTAAGTTAGCTGTGTCGTTCACTGATCTCTTCATCAGATGATAGCATTATATCCCCTTTTTCTTCTAAGAGTGGTCCGTAAGGTGCTTGCTCAAAAAGCAGGTATAGTGGTGGGAAGTGTGGTTATACACCATAGACAGGTAAGTGAGTCTTTGATGACAGCAAGAACTGCGTAGTGACCTGCTTGCCAGGACAAATAGAGCTGATCTTTACGGTTGGCTCATCATAAAGATTGGTTTCCAGTACCATATGTAGGCCAGGCAGAGAAGCATTTTCAACGCATGGTGAGGCACTGGAGAGGGGAAAGAAGGTTTAAGCTTGTTAGGAACTGGGGAAGCTTTTGGAATAAATAAAGGCTAAGCAGGAAGAATGGACTCTGTCTAAATCCAAATGGAATCCAATTTTTGGCTCTTAAGGAAAGGTTATGAAAGTTTTTTAAACTGGAACAGGGGAGAAACTTGATAGGTTTGGAAGGACATGCAGCTCAGAATGATGCATGCTGTGGAAATGGAATCATCAAAATGCTTTAGTGTTGAAACGTCAGTAGGATGGAAGTTCAGAAGGGAAACTGCGAAGAGGAAGACTCGACAGTGAATATCCATCTAAGCATAGCATGCAAAACTAAGCAACCAGTTGAAGACCTGTAGCAATCAAAGAAGTCCATAAAATGTTTGAACTGCAATGTCTATTTATAATGAACTTGTTGACATACTAGGGTGTTTCATAAACGTGTTGAGACCATGCGGTAATGAGAGTACAGCTTACAGGAAAGGCAGAGTAGACTCTGCTAGTGTAAGAGTGGGCTGTAGGGGATAGAGAGCTGAGTGTCAAGTGAGGTAAGCTGGCTGCAGCATGGAAACCTTACGGGTTGGGATGCCGTGCCTAAATAGAAAGGGTGAAGTATTAGATCTGACGGTGTGAAACTCGGAGACTGTAAAGGCTGCAAGAGCAGAACGTGCTATGACAATGAGAGGTTTCATTTATCCCCATGTTGACAGGATATATATCACAGGGAGGCACGGTGCATGAGTTTTTAGGAATCGTGAATGCCTTTTGCATGGAGCAGTAAGCTAGAAAAAGGAGAAGTAATTCTTCATATACCCTTGGGGGCTCTAAGAAACGTAACTGTTGTAAAATCACTTTGTAATAGTAACCATAATGTACTCAGATTTAACATCCTCGTAGGAGCAAAAAAGACATAAACAGCATTATCAAGGGCTTGGGTTTTGTTTTTGTAACTTTTAGGAATGGAACTACGTAAATAGTTAGGAAGTAAATGGTGCTGTGAAAGGGTGAAAAGCTCACAGCTGGCCTGGAAACATTTTAGTGGCTTGTAGTAAATGCAGAGCTTGTATTACAAAGATTTTTAAAAAATCCTAACGTAGAAAACTGGCTTGGTTAAAAACAAATAACCCATTACAGGTAAAAGTACATCCTCACAAAAGGGAAGTTGCGTCCAGATATGGAAAAAAGATATCGTGGCTAGTTAACCTGTGAGACTGGATGAAGGGATTTTGAGAAGCAGTTTGCTTAAGGCAAAACCATTAATATTCTAAACCCATCAGAATAAGGAAGCCTCTCTGAGAATGTGTAGGACGGATAGGAGATCCGAGTGTAAAGGAAAATACGACCATAGCAGAAAATCTAATTAAACTGTCTGTGTTGGTACTCACTTCAGAGACTTCTCAGGAGATTCCCAAGCGGTGTCTGTCTTTACAGGGGAATAGTCTGAGGAACCGTCTCAAATTGGAGCATCTGTGGAACAAAATCAGTGGAGTAATTGTTAGGACTGGCTGGTATTCACCTGACTGATATAAAGGAATTAAAACATGGTCAACATTAAAACCAGTGGAATGGAAGTAGCAAATAGGACACCAGTTCTTAAGAAGGGTCTGTGAGCCAGTAAATCTGGCTTCTGCATTGTGCACATTGAAAAATTGATGGTATAGCATTATGATGCACAGCCACCTCTCTCAGTGCAGGATCTCAGCCATCACACAGTACTGCTTTTGTAGAGGGAAGTCAGGCTTCAGTTCAGGAGCTGAGTTTGATGGAGTCAGTGGAACACGTGGATAATGGTGATACGCCTAAAGTGGCGTAAGTACAGTCCTGAAAAGATAAGGTCCTTTATCAAAGAGTGTTGAAAACAAGCTGTCGTGTGATAACAGAGAAGGGTTCTGTCATCAATTAATAACTCTTTAAAGAAAAGAAATATAGATGAGGGAAAAATGGCCAGTTCCAGCTTTCTGGTTTTGCACTGCTGAGTCCTGTGCTATTTGATATATTTACACATGAAATAAGAGGGGAGATGAATTATAAATGTAGAAAGTTGATAATGCAAAATTACTTAGCTTGGTTATAAGGTAGAAAAATTTCGTGATATTATATGGGCAAGAAGTAATAAATACAGTCAGTGCTGATTGTGTAGTGACTGATGGCCTAAGGTACATGCGCACATTGATGGGCTTCAAATTAGCTTTTACATCTTGGGGAAGGCTTTGGAGTCTTTGCCGGCAGTATGCTGGAGATACTCGATAAATAGTGAATGCAAGCATGTGTTCATGATCGAAAGCACAAGGCTGTACACAAAGCAATTCAGTGTATGTACTGGAAAAGTTATTGTCCTATACCACTTGTCTTCACCCTTTATATGCTACCACGGCCAGAAGTATTTTCCTTGTTAAGAACCAAATAGAACTGTGATGAGTGAAGTAAGGCTTAAATTGGGAAGGTTGAGGTGTGGAATTTCTTCCAAAATAAAATTTCTATTCAATCAATATAACAAAACCAAACCAGTAACTATTATTAGGATAAAGCTGGGCATAGAGTGATGCACTTGAAAGCGTAATAACGGAAAGGATAAGCTCCGGCTTGAGCTGTGAATTGAAAAGAGCCAAGGGCCAGCAGAGCATCCTGCTGGTTAAGCCACGTGTACGTAACTCCTGGGTACAACTAAGGCAAACCCACGGGAAGAACAGGCAAGTGGACAGTCAGCTAAAGAAAGAGCTGCGGGTCTCTTCACAGAAGATGCCAAGAACAAAAAGATCTTCCTTTCCCAGAGTCTGGTCCCTGACAATGGTCCTAGCAATGTCTTTGTACGATGGCGTGCTCAAACATGCTGTACTTGAGATATGGGCATACTGTGAATTCACACAATGACACAATATTTTTCCTATCCGTTCCTTTCGTATGATTTCCAGCAATCCATGTGTCCGTCTTGTCACTCCAAGAACTGAACTGAAATTTCCAAAGACCTACAATAATTCCCCTATTCCTTCCCTAATGGGTGGTCATTAGCTTAGGAAACTCCCAGATGTCTGAAACATGCTGTGTCTGGGAAGGTGGGAGATCAAAGCTCAGAGCAGAGGGTCCCATTTCAAGTTCAGGAGGTGCTGTTAAGATTTCTTCTTGATTTTCTGTTAATGAGGTTTAAAGCAGAAGTCTGTCTAATTTCAACTAAGAGAGAAAAACACAGCAGATAAATGCTGCAACCCAGATTCTGTTACACGCTCACAGGTCTTACTGCAAAGGTGGTGGAGATGTGAGAGTTACCTAGCCATTTCCACAGCTCTTTTCTGCATGTTTTTTTTTCCTTTGAGATTAAGGCTGGGAAAAAATCTTGCTGTGTATTGAAAGATTGTTTCAGCTTAACTGTTCTACAAAAGAGAAGGTATTCCCTTTGTGTTGTCATCTTATTGCAGGAGTGTTTTATATTGATCTTGGAGTTGGCTTGTGTCTAAAGTTACGAAAAGTGGTAGACCTTGCATAATTACTGAAAGTGGGAAATCTGTTGGGTTTGTGTCTTACGGAATGGCACAATTTTTATTTGGAAGGTGAATGCACTACTTAAAGCATGAACATGTATTTGCAGCAAGAGTATTCTGTAGGTTTTTTAATGTTGTAATTAATTTAGTTGGCCGTTATTAAAATACATAGTAAATTTTCTTTTTGCTTTTGGGGAAAAAAAAAAGGGAGAAAACGTTCAAACTGTAAAGGACAGGTTTTATTTTTAATCTGTATCACTTGATAACAAATCAAAACTACTTTAGGAAGCATGGATAAGAACTGGCACTCAGCGGGAGTTCAGAATTGGTGCTTTTTTTTTACCACTTGAGTACGCCCTGTCAGTCTTTAAACAATTAGTGGGGTAGGAGTAAATCATGGTTTAAAAATAAAGTCCAGCTGCCTTTTGACTCTAGGATCAAATATATAATTGAAACTGTGAAAATAGTGTTAAAGTTCAGTGCTAGGTTGAATTTCACAGCACTAATGAACTGGTTTCTGACTACAATAACCTCAGTGTGACGGTGAGTAGGTCTTTTTTGAAGGAATTCTCTTAAGCCCTTTTTGTAGAGGAACAGTAGCTAGAATATGAAATTAAGACACTAATTAACAATAAAACGCTCAAATGAGGTTTTAAAAAAAAAAAAAAAGCTAGATGAATTTCAGTGTTGTAGCGTGCATGCCGGACAGCCTCCCATCCCCTGCTTAATTCCTTCATCGCATGGGTAATGGAGAGATTGAATCAGTGAAATGTTTGCAAAACAGTGTGGTGTAGCTATATGGTACAGTTGGCTTTTAATGTAGAATCTCAACCTGAAGAAACTTAAGTCTTTTAGCGAAACTAACAGTCCCCAGAAAGCGTTTTTTTGTGTTGACTTTTGTATGTATGCACTTTGATATTTGAGACTTTGTCTAATTATAAACATAATACTAATTATAAACACGTTATTACTTTTTCTGATCATAAATGTGACCTATATCTAAAAGCACCACCTGGCAGAGCAAGAAACAAGGTCAGGAAAAGAAAGGATTTAATTAGCTATCAAATATAATTTCGTATTCTGGTTTAAGTGAGCAAAATTATCTAAACCAGGCACAGCAATATTTTCTGAAAAACAAGTTGATTTTACAGAAGATTGTAGACATTACTGAAAAATTGAAACTCAAAAGGTCGGCTGTGAATTGTTTGCTTGTACATAGTGTATGCTCGTTTGCTAGGAGCTTTGTGTTAGATCTAATGTTCTGTCTCTAAATTCTAGTCCTCTTGATTTAAAAAAAAAAAGTTCATTTTTAATTCAGCTGCAGTGGTGGAAAGAATAATTTACAGAAATGTTACAGAAATCTGCTAAAATATGCATTCTTCAAGTCAACTTTCAATTTTTGGGTTAATTTTAGTTGTGCAAATGGATTCACATTAAAAGATTTTAAGAGATTTTAAGTGCATTGAAACTGATTAAGCACGACTCTTAAAAATCAGAACTGACTGCAATTTGAAGGCAGCTGAGATGCATAATTCAGTGGTAAAAAAAACCAAAAACACAACCACATGATGTGCCGCAGGAAATAGTGCTTTCTTAAAATGTGCCATCAATGTAGATGACCCGTGTTGCTCATGTGGGATTTTTTCTCCCGACTCCAGGAAGGGCGATCCTCCTACTCTTTACTTTATAACTTCAATAAGGGAAGATTTTCTTGAGAGTTCTCATTTCACCTTTAGTTGCTCTGGTTCTGTCCTTCCAGATATCCAAACACAGCCTGTGAACTGCTGACCTCGGATGTGCCGCAGATCAACGACAAGCTAGGAGGGGATGAAACTCTGCTGAATATCCTCTATGACTTCTTGGATCACGAGCCTCCTTTGAACCCTTTGCTTGCCAGTTTCTTCAGTAAGACTATTGGGAATCTCATTGCAAGAAAAACGGAACAGGTAGTGATTAGATTTGTCTTGATACATAAGCACAAATTAATTCACTAACATTTTATGCGTTGTATGGCAGTTTCATTGCTATCCTCATGATCTCATTGTATTCTTAGGGTTGAAAAATAGCTCGCTATACTCTTTAAGATTGGAGTTGAAATGTAGGCTTTGAAAAGTTCTTGGTATTCCTCAGTTGAGGGAGTTGCTGGCTCATTTAAACACCTTTGCGTAGTTTTGGTTTCAGATCTGCAGTAGCTGGGATATTCCTGTGCCACAGCTAAAGCTTTATTTTTCGTACAAAGGCATATTGATGCATCTTTCGATCATTGCCCAAAATCATCTCGTTACATAAACAATGCCTCAGATTCATGGCTATAAAAGGGGTGCTGGAAACATGAGCTGAACAGTGTTTCAGGAATACATGTGTTCCAATTCAAAATTGTTTTTTTAAATGAAGGCTGTCAGAGAGCCTTAGTGGAACGAAAAATTCTCCAGCTCCACCAGCTTCTTGATGCTCTTATTTCTATGGGCTTGGGTTTCTTTGTGGCATAGAGGAAAGAAGAGATAGCTAAAAAGTTTTGATTTAGTATTGCCTTGAAATGAGAATGTTATTTTCTTCTCTTGTTCTCGGGAGAATTTCTCAACCTTGTAGCTGTTTTGCATCAAGGTTGGCTGCTTGAGAGAAGAAAGTGAAGTATAGGAAGTTCTGTGTGCCATGTCTGTATGTTGTACTAGCAACTGATGATGATGCTTTTATTTTTAGGTGATTGCATTTTTAAGGAAAAAAGACAAATTTATTAGCCTGGTGCTAAAGCATATAGATACATCAGCAATGATGGACCTCCTGCTTCGTCTAATCAGCTGTGTGGAGCCCGCGACTCTACGGCAGGAAGTACTGAATGTGAGAATCTACTACTTTTTTTTTCTTTACAAGATTGGGAACGAGGGTTTTTGTTTGCATCTTGAAGAAATAGAATTCTTTTTGTCATTTATTATGAGAGTGGATTCACTCTTCTGAAAACTATTTTTCTTAGTGCTAGAGTCTGCACGCCGGTTACTTTGGGTACTTCAGCCTGTTTGTGGCTTGCACAGCAGAGCAAGTCTGGTTCAGGCACTGGCAGTAAAGGATTTTCAACTCATTTTTCCATCTAGCAACCACTATTTACTCTAGCTGTTTTTGCTGTAGAACTTTGACAAAGGAAATTTGTAATCTTTCCCAGTATTCAGAATTTTAGACTGATCATTTGGGACAGTAATTTGTTTAATTCCTCGCCATGTTCAAGGGTGTATGTGATTTTGGAGATGCTATCTTGTGCCTCCTCCTTCCCCTTCCTCTTTAATAGGCAGCCTTATAAAATATCTCATTAAGATGTTTAGTTTGCTTTACAGGTAGGACAAGTTTTTCTCCCTTCATAGCCCAGTCTGGGTGAGGCTGCATCATCCCCCCTTTAGTGGGCAGATGTGCAGGATTGGAGGAAAAAAACCTCATTTAGCTCCCTCTCAGTTAACCAGAAGAGCAGAGTGCTATATGGAAAACTGTACTCGAGCCACTGAAGCCCACACCAGGATTTTTATGTTTGCCAAGCTTCGCTGCCCAAGTCTTCCCTGGCCAGAGCATTGACCACACCATAGCTCAGCAGGTCAATGTTCTCTGCAGACACTCACGATAGATGATTCCCATTGCTCGATTCCTCCTCGCAGCCTTGTGGTGCATAGTGCAATACGCACGCTGTTTCAGAGAAGGAAAAAAATACAGACACAAATCGATCCTTACAGACTTGTATGGGCATTCACCCATGAAGGGAAGTCATCATTTTTTTGACAGGAAAGTCAGCAATTCAATTGATTAGACATCAAATAGTAATACCAAGAAAGGAGATGGGAGGAAAAAGCCTTCAAGAGATGGACTGATGGAGGATAATGATGATGGAGGATTCACTGGGAGAGAAAGCAGCTTTGCAGAAAAGGCCCAACCACATCCCAGGCCGTGACGGCCCGAGGGCAGGGATTGCTGCCCGCTGCTCAGCGCTGGTGAGACTCGTCAAGATACTGGGGCCAGGCTGGGCTCACCAGTGCAGGACAGACATTGCAGTCGTGCAGCGTAATGTTACCAAGATAAATGCAATTATTTTTTCTTCTGATGTTAAAATGGCATTTTAACTGAGTAGTGTTTTTCTGGGATGGATGGCTTCTGTCCAGGAAACTTCCAAATATCCAGGTTTCCAGATATCAACCATCCAAAAACAGGCAGATCCAGATGGGGTATATTTTAACCCCATCCTATCAGGTTAATTCTACCTGTTAAAGATTTCACACAGTCAAAAAAAATGAAAACAAAATGAAGATACCAAGTGGCACTGGAGGTGCACCTGAAGTTTTTTTTTTTTTTTTCAAATAGTCTTAAACATAAGTATTATCCCCAAGCATTTAAAAATCTGATTGCTTAAGGATTTCTCCTCAGAAAACCAGAAAGTAATAGCAATATGGAAATTTGAGATTGAATGTTTAGAGAAGCTACTTATCAGCAATTTTGGCAATATATTCAGAAACTGAAGTCTTCAGAAAAGTTAATTTGCAATCTTCATTTTTGGTAGGTATTAGACATAAAAGTTATACTTCATGGACTGCATTAGCTATTCATCACATCAGGAAAAAATACTGTCTGTCAGCTAGTAGCTAGAATGGTTGTGAATTGTTTGCTGTCTCAAAGTAGTCTTCATATTTCTTCGGGATGCTGGACACCTCAGAGAGGTGTCAGGGTCTTTTGAGTTTTAGCAAGAGGAAAAGTATTATTATTAATTTTTCAGGAACTCATACAGCTGTAGTTGGCTGATCTTCCGAGGGTCTCGCTACTGCTTAGCCACTCTTCTTACACTCCTAACTTCTGAAATTCAGGAGAACGTGGTCCATCGAGCAGTGTATTAGATAGTAACCATAAGGCCGTGCGCCCCTTGTCAAACAGCACAGCAGAGTCCAGCTATCGTGTGATCTGGATCTGAGCTGCGTTTTTTCATTTGTGTGCATTTAATTAACTTCTTATATATGGTGTTATAAATTCCTATGTGTTGTCATCTTCTGTTAAACAGTTTCCAGTTGGTTGATTGCTCTATCCATATATTGAACCTGCATGCAAATGTAATTCACTAACACCACTGTATGTTTACAGTATGTCTTTAAACGCCATATTCAGGGTTTTTTCCCTATTTGCACATCTTCCTTCACGCAGTAGCTAGTGTTTTGGATAGACGTCCTGTGCCGTAGATTTTAGGTTAGCTGTTTATCAATTACTTTGATCCACAGTGACAGCAATTAAACTTAGTATTTTAAAGTTTCCCTAGTGTTGATGTACCCTGCTCCTGGATGGTATCTGAGGAGGTCTAACATTAAATCACGGTCTGAGGTTATGCTGCAGCTACTTCCCAAGTAGAATATGAATGTTACCTGAACAACAAAATGCCTTCTACTTTGCATTTGTGTGACTTAGCAAAAGCTGAAAACTTTGATATCCAAGTAAAGTTTGAGAAGCACCATTTTTCAGTAGAAAGTGCTGCTGTCGAGGGTACATCACTTAGGGGTGTGAAAAGACCACTTCTGCACTTGACATTGCTATGCTGGCAAAATCCTTCTGTGAACTTCAGTTGGTTCGTTATATGTTTCTTGCTGTCTGGAAAGGTAGTGTTTTACAGCATCAGATTTATGAAGATGGTATCTTAAGTTTTAAGTTAAACAAAATCATATTCTGCGTAACAAGTCCCACAGCACCTCTCCTTAGGGATTTGATGTCCCCATCGTTGCTTTGACTCGGTAAGTCAGAGACTCCCTGATAATTGCACAAGAGTCTAATTCTCTGGCCTTCCATTTTAGAGATCCGTAGGCTGTGATAGCTGGACAGTGCTCATGGCTCTCTGCTCTGCTCTGTTTTCTGGACCTTCTAAAGTGTGTGCTTGAAGTTGCCTTGTTTACTCCTGCTTAGATCATGTTAGCCAGGGTGGAGGTTCTCACTGTTTGACTTCCAGTGCTGAGTGAAGCTGGGCCAGCAATTCCATGAGCGCTCTAAGCTGGCATTGCCACAGAAGAAGGCAGTCCTGCTTTCACCTTCCTCCTGCTTGTTCTGCCCATCCAGCTCCTCTTGAGTCTTTGCCAGCTGAAGTGTTCATGTGCTTGTAAGGTGACACGGACTAGGGAATTGATCCAACTGAAGACACCTCTCTTTTATTTGTATTTTTTGCCAGAATTGTTTTCAGCCAGCTCAATTCCTTGGTTTGGGTTGGTTAGGTTTTTTTTTTTTTGCATGGACTTGTGCAGTGATAAGGGAGGAGAAAGGAGCAGAAGATAAATGGATGAGTATGAGCAGAGAGAAGGTGGCAGTGCCATTTTATATGTTCTTAAACTGTTTGCAGAACTACAGTTTGTGGTGTTTTTTCTCTTTCTCTTCCTCGGTCTGTAATTGAGGGCCTGCAGTTAACAGGAAAATACGATAATTCTTTATCCATTTCCTTCTGTTCATGCATGACAGAGGAATGCTTTGTTCGTGTAGCTCGGATTTTGTTGTTTTGGAGAGCTGTGCCATCAGGAAAAAACCTGGCTAGCACATGCTGTTCCTCCATACTTCTGGCCTGAGTTTGGCAGAAGCACCACTGTACGAGGAAGCCTCTAGATTCAGCAGTCCATGGGTAGGTGCAATGTAAGTGAAATAATCTGTTGTCTACATTGCATCTTTACAGCTCTCTCTCTTCCCTCTTTCTGGACTTTCACAATTGAAAATACTAGAAGAGTCTTAATCAGAAACTTCTAAGGAGATTCTTCCAGCAGGCTTGTCTTTCAGGCACCTACATTTTGATATCCTTGGACAAATCGTACAGATGGATGGCAGCATATTCTCTTTGATTGGTGTCATTTGATCCTGGAATGTCTCTGTGGATTTGTGAAAGAAATAATACTGACTTTAAGTAGTCAAATACTGACTTTCTTGTGCAGCAAGAAAGCTCAGATATGGGTTGCTTCTTGAAGCAAGATAAAGGGCATCAAAGAAGTCTGTCCTCTGTCTGCGTGTTATTAGTATTAAATCTTACTTAGAAAAATGCAGAGAGGCACAATTGCTGTGAGAAGACTCCACATCTGATTTGGCTGCAAGTACGGGGAATTTATGTGAAGCAGATCCAGTTATTGTGGATCTCTCTTCTGCAGTTCATCTTCTCATGCTTGCCTTAGTGACAAAAAGTACAGCTTCTGTTGATAATCTTCACTGGGGAGAATTAGCCTATCCTCCTGATTCAGGTCTGGAGGAGAAAACCCGCTATGGCTCAGCTGGAGCACAGTGAGTCACTGGGATCTTGCTGCAAAACCCCACCTTTGGGCTGCAGAGTGGGTTACACCTTTCGACATACTTGTCATGGTTTCCTTGGTAATCAGGAGAATGTGATCCTTGTTATCCTGAAGAGAAATCTGCTTGTCCTGGCTGGATCCGTCTCTTCTCCCTGCGTGCTGGTGAAGAGGGCCCAGGCGTGGACCATGGCTTCTGCAAAAACCCCTTGCAAGCTCAGTACCTTGGTGGTTGAACTGATCTTCCAGTTTTCACCGCTTGTAGCCAGGGTATCGTGTACCCTTTTTGTCAGTCTGACATGGGTAGTGATCATAGCACAGAAAAAACCCCTCCTGCACGTTGTCCCGCGTTTTTCTATTGCTTTCATGGGTAACAAACTGCAAGAATAAAAAGGGTGTATTCTTCCTGCTGTCTTTACCCTAAAGAAACGGCAGCTCCCAGAGCTAGATTAGACTAACGAAGATATCTTTCTCTTGTAAGAAAAATTGTCCTACTGCAAGATCAGTCCTCAGCTGAGGAAAGTCTACTGTGAATACTTTAGTGAAGTGACTATTGATGTTGTGATCCTTGAAAGATCA